AACTACTAATAAAGTAAAATGGTAAAATAAATAACCAGGAAAGGGCAAATATTGTATTATCAAATTCTGTAGAGAGACAATGTTTATAATTTGTTATTTTTGTTAAAGTTAAAGGTGTGTGTTTGCTAACTTCTCGGTTTGGTGTAGTACCTTTCCCACTTCAAATGTTCTGTTTATGTCACTGATCTCTTTCTGACTCCTTGAGAGCATAGTATAGTTCTTTGTAGTAGTGGGAAATCTTTCAAAGCACTTAAAGCTTGTGCCAAACAGTGTTAAGTACTTGCATGAATTATGTTGCTTTCCTACACAAAAGCTTTATACACAGTGCTATTTTGATCAACATTGGTAATTGCTATCTGAGGATGAGGCCCTCAGGGATCAAGGGAGTTTAAGTGATTGGCCAGTGTCACACTGTAAGAGGCAGAACTGCTTAGGTTTTGAATCCAAGTCTCTTGATTTCAGGCAGAGTTCATAATCTTTCTCATTACCTGTAGACCTCTTCATAAGGAGACTACAACAGAAGGAACTTGTTAAAGAGTCATTGAATTGAATAAGGATACTGAAATGTGTCTAAAATTAAGCTTACTTATTTGGCTGTTTATTGATAGTAAAGGTTTGAATCCTGAATACTTCCGGAGAATAATTTTTCTGACTTAAACCAGAATATTCAGGAGTATGGCTACTTGTTCATGGACTTTTTTGCCTTTCTTGGACTTTTCCTAATTTAGAATAGAATCACTTAGTGGTGTTGGAGACAAGGAAGGAGCCATAGCAGTTGACTTTCCAGAGAATGGGAACCTACAGAAGGAAATGCAGATTGAAAAATAGATGATCATGGGCTGGGAAGGTGGCTCAGTGGTAGAGCGCTTGCCTTGCATGCCTGAGGCCCTGGGTTCGATTCTTCAGCACCACATAAGCAAAAAGAAAAAAGCCGGAAGTGGCGCTGTGGTTCAAGTGTTAGAGCACTAGCCTTGAGCTGAAGAGCTGAAGGACAGTGCCCAGGCCCAGAGTTCCTGCCCCATGACTGGACCCAAAAAAAAGAAAAATAGATGATCTGAGTGTGATAGAACACCTGCCATCCCACTAGTCTGGAGGCTGGGGCAGGAGGATTATGAGTTTGAGGCCAACCTGGACTATATAACAGGTCCCTCTCTCATCCCCTACCCACCCCCCAAAAGGGATGGATAGCCCAGTCTGTTTAAGATAATCCCTTTTAAACTATAGACATTCAGAGCTGGGAAGGTTAGCATAGTCCTGTAATGTCAGCACTTAGCATTTAACCAGTGTGAGTCAGGAGAACTATGAGTTTGAACCCAGCCTGGACTGTATATTGAAAGAGAGGGAGAGGAGAGAGAGGAAAAAAATCAGTTTTAACCTTGTAGCAGGATTTTCGGGAATTATTTTTGGGATTTTTTAAGAGCTGATGGGAAATAGTTTCTCTATTACTTTTTTCCTTATTTTCACTAAATACTTGTGATTGTTATCCTTGTAAATGAAAGACGATAGTGCATACTACCTCCACTTGTATAGAAGGTGAATACTTTTTGGTTATTACTGGAGAAAGCTCATAAAGAATAAGAAGCATTTCTTAGAATCTGTAAGTTTGACTTTTTCCAAATGATTCATAAATACTAGGAAGATTCTTACTCCTCTAGAACTTCTATTTCAAAACCAAACTCCTATTCTAGATTTTCTTTTGGCCTGTTGGAAGATTTCTTTTTCAGAATATGCATTATTTTCATTTTTAAAAATACATGAGAGTGGGCTGGGAAGGTGGCTCAGTGGTAGAGCACTTGCCTTACATGCTCAAGGCCCTGGGTTCGATTCCTCAGCACCACATAAGCAAAAAGAAAAAAGCCGGAAGTGGCGCTGTGGCTCAAGTGGTAGAGTGCTAGCTTTGAGCTGAAGAGCTGAGGGACAGCGCCCAGGCCCAGAGTTCAGGCCCCACGACCGGACCCAAAAAAAAAAAAAAAATTCCTGAGAGTGAGCTGGGCACAAGCAGCTGATGCCTCTAATCCTAGCTACTCAGGAGGCTGAGATCTGATCATGGTTGGAAGCCAGCCTAGGCAGGAAAGCCTGTGAGGTTCTTATCTCCAATAAACTATTCAGAAAAGGCTGCAAGTAGCACTGTGGCTCAAGTGGTAAAGTGCTAGCCTTGAGCACAAAGAGTCTCAGAGATGGCGTCCAAGCCCTGGGTTCAAGCCCCAGGACTGGCAAAACAAAACAAAAAACAAAACAAAAACATGAGAGTGGAGAGATTTAAATCAGGTATACAGTCTGATGAAGTCACTGCTATGAAATGCTTATTTCTCTCCTTTTTTTCTTTTTTTCTTTTTTTTTTTGTCAGTGATGGGGCTTGAACTCTGGGCCTGGGCGTTGTCCCTCAGCTCTTCAGCTCAAAGCGAACGCTCCACCACTTGAGCTACAGCGCCACTTCTGGCTTTCTAGTGGTTTATTGGAGATAGGAGTCTCACGGTCTTTCCTGCCCGGGCTGGCTTTGAATCGGGATCCTCAGATCTCAGCCTCCTGAGTAGCTAGGATTACAGGCGTGAGCTACCAGTGCCCGGCTTCTCTCCATTTCTAAAAATAAAGCAACAAGGAAAGTTTGGCTCAGAAAAGCAACCGTTAAGAGGAATGTGGGAGTTGTCTTCAAACAATTGAAGTCTTGTCATGTTGGAAAAAATTCCACTCAATTTGTGTCACCCCTGTGGATTGAATTTATGTATGAAATGTGTAGGGAAACAGATCTCAGCTCAATCTAAACAAAAAGTGATGCCTGAGAACCAAGCTGATGGTCCATGTTGAACTTTTAAACTTGGGTCAAATTCAGATGCCAGTGGAGTGTCATCTATCCGGTGTGTTGGAAGGACCTGTCATACTCAGAATTATTGACCAGGATCAAGGGGTAAGGAGAGAAAGTCAGACAGCTAATACAGTATAAAAAGGACAGCAGACAGTTATGATAAGAAAGAGGGAAAGTGAGGGTTTGTGTCCTGTCCATCAAAGCCTGACATAGTTTACATTTTCTCTGCCAGGGACATTAAATAAGAATTGTTGGCTCTTATTTCCTAAGAGGTGGTTGTGCAGAGCTTGAGGAATTTTTGGCTTTGACATAGAAACTGAAAAACTCTGTTTTTATAGTAAGTCTGGCTGGAGACATTGAGTGCTACTAAATCAGAAATGTCCAGACTGGGTCTTAGGTAGGAGCAACAGCTTCTGGCAGTTGGTTTAGTTTTCTCTGAAGTAATTTTCACAATTCTCTCTCATTGTTGATACAGTGAACTAAAACCTCAATAGTAGGATTCAGGCAGAGATAATATCTTTCGTTCTGAAAGTTTGGATTTGCCCCAAATTCCACTTCTATCTTTACGGAATAAAAATGTTTTGTGAGCATTCTTGGCACAGGGATCTGATGTAGGAAGAACTTAGCTTTCAACCAAAGTTTAGTGGTTTCTGGGGAAGAGGATATGAAGTGGGTAAGAGAGTGAATATTCCACATAAGCCTGGATGTGAATCTTAGCTCAAGCCATTCACCACCTATATCTCACATAAGTGACCTAACTAACTTCTCTAGGCCTCAACTTCTTTATTTGTAAAGCATCCTTATATGTGGAGATGTTTTCGCATACATTAAAAAAAAAAAGTATGTAGCACATGGGGCAGGAGCCAGTGTCTCATACCTAGCTACTCAGGATACTGAGGTCTGAGGATTGAGGGCCAGACCAGGTAGAAAAATTTGAGACATTGTCCTCAAGCTACCCAGGAAAAAGCTAGAACCGGAGATAAGGCTCAAGTGGTAGAGTGCCAGCCATGAATTGGAGAATATTTTTTGAATTTTATTTTTGTGGTAGCAGACAAATTAGTCATAATTAATTTCATTGTTCTTGTTGGTAGAGGCATCTGAACTTTGGATGGAATATGTGCCTCCTTGTTAGAGAATATTGTTGTAAATATCATGTAGCATGTCTGAGTAGAGCATGAATTCTAAAAGCAAATGGAATTGAAAGGAAAGGCAGAAGGAGGTTACTCTTATTTTCTTTTTAAAAATTAACTTCAATGGGAATGAGGGAATAGATGATACTATGCAATAGAAAATGTACTTCTTAACTGATGTATGTAAAGGTAACCCTACTGTATATCACCTTTAAAACAAAGTTATAAAGTAATTTAGGGGAAAAATCATCTTCAAATAGTTATATAAAGGGATTTCAATTTAGCATCTCCATTTATGTGGACAATGCATCTTGGTTGTTGTCACCCTGTCAGAGAGGTTTACTATAAAAGGAACAATACATATTCTTCTGTTTCCTTCTCCCCTCTTCTCTGAATTAAGGTTCAGGATATATAGGGAGGAGAGATTTGGGAATCTTCTGCATCATTAAAAGCGAGTGAGGAGGTCTGGAGGATTACAGTTTGAGGCTAGTCCTGGAAAAATGTTAGTGAGACCCCCAACCTTAACAAAAATAATTTAGGTGTGATGGAAGTACATCCAGCTACTCGGAAAGCATGGCTAGGAAGGTTGTGGCCAAGACTTTCTCCAGGAAAAACATGAGACCCTAACCAAAAATTAACAAAAACCAAAAGGGCTGGATAAATGGCACAAGACATGGGGTTTAAACCCCAGCCCTCATTTCCCCAAAATGCATAACATAGTTGAGATTGTTGAGGGAGTGAGATATTGTTTTGGGCTGGGAATGTGGCTTAGTGGTAGAGTACTTACCTTCATTATGAAGCCCTGGGTTCTATTCCTCCCACCCCCCCCCAGAAGTGATACAGTGGCCAAGTAGTAGAGTGCTAGCCTTGAGCAAAAGAAGCTCAAGGATAGTGCCCAGGGCCTGAGTTCAAGCGCCAGGACTGGCACAAAGCAAAAAAAAAAAAGGAATAATGTGCAATAACAGAACAAAGTCAGGCCAGATTTAAGGAGTCAGCCTATACTAGAAGTTGGCAGATCCAGATTCTTCCAGTCTTACTCTCCCCATGTATGATTTGTGTACCCCTAGGTCTGTCATTTCCTGCTCTACAGACTGGACCCCATCACTAAGTCTTTGAGAACCTAAGGTTCTCTGTCTGAATCTCTCTGGAAGCAAGATCAGGTAAAAATCAGGATCGTGTCACATCTCTGGGACAACTTTCAGGAAGCTATAATATTACATGTGAAAGAAAACTGAGTGCCAGATGCACCCGCAATCCCAGTTGCTAAAATTGGGATGATAATATTTCAAGGCCAGCCCAGGTGAGACCCTTCCTCAACTAGTAGCTGGGTATGGTGGTTCAAGCATGTTCTCCCAGCTACGTAGGAGGTTAAGATTGGGAAGATTGTTGTTCAGGCCAACCCTAGGCAGAAGAATGCTTGAGGCCTCATTTCAGTAGAAGCTGGGCATGGTGTAAAGTAGGAAGAATCAGTCTAGGCATAGACCTGGGTAAAAAGAGAGACCCTATCAATATATCCAATGCAAGCCAGGGACTGGTGGCTCACTCCTGTAATCCTAACTACTCAGGAGGCTGAGATCTAAGGATCACGGTTCAGAGCCAGCCTGGACAGGAAAGTCTGTGAGACTCTTATCTCCAATTAACTGCCAGAAAACCAGAAGTAGAACTGTGGCTCCAAGTGGTAGAACACTAGCCTTGAGCAAAAAAGCTCAGGGACAGCCCCCAGGCCCTGAGTTCAAGCCTCACAACTCACCCCTTCTGCCCCCCAAATATATATCTCCAATGCAAGCCAGATGCTGGTGGCTCATACCTGTAATTACTCAAGGAGACGAGATCTGGAAGATCATGGTTTGAAACCAGCCTAGGCAGGAAAGTCTATGAGACTCCATCTCCAAAATAACTAGCAGAACACTGGGCTGGAGACATGGTTCAAGTGGCAGAGCTGATGAAGCAAGCCAAATGAGTACAAGGCCCTGAGTTCTAGTACTTGCAAAACTATAAATAACCAGTGCAAAAAAGGTATGGCCCAGCTGTAGAATGCCTGCCTAGTGAATTTGAATCCTGAGTTCAAATCCCAGTATCAGCTGCCCCCCCCCCCAAAAAAAAGAGGCACAGAAATTAAAGTCCAGTGAGAACCAGGGAATAGGTGAGGTGCCCAGGAGGCCAATTTGATTAGAAGGACAGAGAGAACTGCAGATGTAAGGTTTACTGTGGGAACACCAGGTAGTGAGAATTACTCCACATTCTCGCTGGCTTTGTAGATAGAATAGATGTTAATAAAAACTACCTGACAGTCAGGCAATGGTAGCTCATGCCTGTAATCCTAGCTACTCAGGAGGCTGATATCTGAGGATTGTGGTTTGAAGCCCGCCTTGGCAAGAAAGTCCATGAGACTCTTAATCTCCAATGAACTACTCAGAAAAAAGGCCAGGAGTGGCACTGTGGCTCAAGTGGTAGAGCACTAGCCTTGAGTAAAAATAAGCTCAGGGACAGAGCCTAGGCTCCATGACCCCAAAAGAACTGGAAGAAAAATTTAAAAGTCGATTTTTGGGTGAGCCAGAGCTAAATCTTGTTTCTCTTTGGAATTTTAATTGCAGTCTCTCCTCCCTCCCTCTCCCCCTCCCCTTTCTCCTCTCCTCTTTTTCCTCCTTCTTTTCTCTCTCTCCCCTCTCCTCTTTGTACAGATTGTCCCATTATGGATGGAGGAGATGACGGTAACCTTGTCATCAAAAAGAGGTTTGTGTCCGAGGCAGAACTAGATGAACGGCGCAAAAGGAGACAAGAAGAATGGGAGAAAGTTCGAAAACCTGAAGATCCAGAAGGTGTGTAGACCTGTACCTAGACATTCAGCATAATAATTCTCTCTCTCTCTCTCTCTCTCTCTCTTTTTGGTCTGTCGTGGGGCCTGAACTCTGGGCCTGGGCGCTGTCCCTCAGTTCTTCAGCTCAAGGCCAGTGCTCTACCACTTGAGCCACAGCCCACTCAGCATAATAGTCTTAATCCTTACAATAACCCTGTCAAGGAGGTGCTAATCGTCCTCACTTGAGAGACGACCCCGCCCAGAGGGTGAAGCAGCCGGTGTAAGGTTTATATAGCAGTACCTGGATGCTCTCCACCACACAGCTTCCAGGAAATACGTTCCTTGAAGGTGGATCCATGTGTGGAGGGTTTGGTCTGGCTGCACATCCATTGAGCTGTCTCAGGTTCTGTTGACATGACAAATGGCTTTGAGAACTGCTTGCCCCTCTCAGATGCAAAGGGAAGCTGTGGACTTTTTGTTATTTTTCTTATCTCCTCCGTTCTTGCTGTTATCTGTACAAGTCTTGGGATTCCAAAATAATATGACATAATTCTGAAATATCTTCTTTCATTCCCTTTCCTTTCCTCATTTTCCTTTCAGAATGTCCGGAAGAGGTTTATGACCCTCGGTCTCTATATGAACGGCTGCAGGAGCAGAAGGACAGAAAGCAGCAGGAGTATGAGGAGCAGTTCAAATTCAGTAAGCTTCAGAATATACACAGTTGGGGGACTCCACTGGGCTTTTTGATGCACTTTTGCCTCGTGCAACACTCTTTCTAATTAGCAATGGAATTGTCTTGATTACCTAGTCTCCAGATGCTCATTTGGTGGGAAAGAGACTGCCTTCTAAAGCACATTGAATATTTTTGTTTAGAGCTCAAGATACCATTTTAATTCTCTGCTAATATCTGTTAATATCTAGTAATGGGAGAAATGTCTTAATTTTATGCTATGCTATCTATCCAAAAGCCATGATGTTTAAAAGTTCTGTTTTCTAAACCTCTAAAGACTTACTGTTTATTAGGAAAAAGAAAAAGAAAAGTCAGAAAAGACTGTCTTTGCTCCTTAGCCTGCACAGTGATCCTTGTTTAATTTTTTCCTCAGAGAACATGGTAAGAGGCTTAGATGAAGATGAGACCAACTTCCTTGATGAGGTTTCTCGGCAGCAGGAACTAATAGAAAAGCAGCGAAGAGAAGAAGAATTGAAAGAACTGAAGGAATACAGAATATCCTTTGTACTTTGAGAAACCTGTCAAGTGTCACTTTCCATGTGGTGATCTCTAAAGTCTCTCCCAACACTGGTACCTGCCACTACATGAATAACTGGCAGTCATTTGTGGAGTGTGTTGTAATAAAAAATTCACATCCTTTAGGATTAACTGAAGGCATAAATCCTCAAAGTCAGAGCAGAGTATTCTTGCCATATGGGATTAGAGAGACAGATGAGCAATTCAGTCAACCTCATCCAGGGAGAAACTGCTTCTGAGTTTAAAAAGGACATGTTTCACAACTACACTCTGTTAATTTTTTTTCAGGCTATACATATCAGTGTTCATTGAAATACTGAAAGTCATTTTGTTGAAAAAAAATTGACTTACAGTGTATCTCCTCTGTTCTCAGTAAGACTTTCCTCTTAGTACAGTGTGCTTTGCTTTGTCTCTATAGAAGAGCAACAAAAATTACTTCAGACAGGGTCTCATTGTATAGTGCTCCTGCTTCAAGCCCTAAAGATACAAGACGTGCATCATCAGGCCCAGCTTGAAGGTCTTAATAGGCAAATGTAACTTGGCTGAGTCAGAATTTCAGTTCAATACCATATACTTCTGCCCTATCACTGCCCTCCACTGTAATCTCTTTATATGGTCTTCCTCGTCTCTAGTCTCAGTAACTAGTGCTCTTCTACTTCCAGCTGCCTGGGCTAAAAACTCCTTTCAAAATGTACTCAAAATCTAATTCTTGTTGTCTCTCTTGTCACTGTAGTAGTTATGGACTCTGTGACCATCTAGTTTCTGTTTCTACTTTCATCCTCTTGTTGGTCTAAGTTACATCTTTGTCTCCACTAAAGGACTGAGATTGAGTCTTTTGCACCCCCTTCACTCCAGCCCTGATGGACCCCAGAATAAATATTAAATGCTGACATTTGTAGAACAAGGCAGTTACGTGTTTTCGGGTTTTTTCCTGTGAGGGAATACACTAATTGCACCTCTCAGTTGAATTTTGTCTTGTTTTACAGCAGTCTAGCAAATAAGACAGAATGTCCCCCAGAGGACATTCTGGATAGCAGGGCTGTGAATGTGAGAAGCCCTTCAGTTTTCAACTCAAAGGAAAGAAAGAACAAACACTTTGCTGTTCTGTAACATTTCAGTGCAGCATTGAAGAGACTCCAAAGGTAACTGGAAAGTTCTGCTTGTTTAGAAAAGCTGAAGAAACATGCCAATAGCCAGAGACATGTGGAGATAGGAGTGGAAGGACCTGATATTGTTTATAAGCTCTCTAGATTTGGATCTGGCTCTTACATTTGCGCATAACATGATGCATTTTATTTTTTTTGCAGTACTGGGGATAAACCCAGGGCTTCCTGTCACATACTAGACAGGTACTTTTCCACTGAGCTACACCCCCATGATACAATTTGTAATGTGATACCACTGAATACAAATACAATGTAGTTTGTGCCATGTAAATAGAACAGATCTTGTTGGTTTATTCTTATGCTAACCTAATATTTAACAATATTGTATAATATCTTTTTAAGTTATTTGTTTTTATTTTTAATTCTTTTTGTCAGTTGTGGGGCTTGAACTCTAGGCCAGGGCTCTGTCCCTCAGCTCTTCAGCTCAAGGCTAGCACTCTACCACTTGAACCGTGACACCACTTCTGTTTTTTTCTGCTTATGTGGTGCTGAGGAATCGAACCCAGGGCCTCATGCATGCAAGGCAAGCACTCTACCACTGAGCCACCTTGCCAGCCTCAAATTCTGTATTTTTAAGAAATTATCTTTTAAGTAGTTGGACAAAGAGGTTTCAGTTCAACATGTCAGTTTGTGAGCACAATATATCTTGATCAGTGTCACCTCTTTCATCATTCACTGGCATCTCCCAAACCCACCCATCCCCTCAATTTATATAGTTCCATTTTCATATGTCTAGTGAAACAAATGTTTTAAAATGCCTCATTGAACCAATCCTTTCTTTCTTTCTTTTTTTTTTTTTTTGGTTGGAAAATACAAAGACATGCTCAACTGATGATGTCTCTTGCGGCTTTGGGCTGCTTCTCAGGTTTCTTGGGCACTAGATGTCACTGTTGTTCCAGTAATGCACGATGGCAACTTGGTATCTAGACTTCTTAGCTGCTCTTTAGTAGTGTGCAAAAGAACATAAGGGATGTTCAGGGGTGGGGTGGTGGTAAGGGGTGAGGAGCTGTGAAGAGAACAGCAATGTCCAACCTTGTGCAGCAGAGATTGGGCCCAGGAATGAAAAATGAGGTGACATGTACTTTTTATGCTCCCCGCACCCCCCCCCCGTGTGTGTATATGTGTGTGTGTGTGTGCATGCACGTGCATGCGTGTGTATGTGTGTGCGCTTCCTCCCCCCCCCCCCCCCCCATTCTTTTCTGAGATAGGGTCTCACCATGAATCCCAGGCTGGCCTGGAACTCCTGCCCCAGATTTCTGAGTGCTGGGATTTCAGGTGTGTAGGGCACACCCAACCCTGCTTATGTTTGTTTTTCCGTTTTTATTTTTTGCCAGTCCTGGGGCTTGAATTCAGGGCCTGAGCTCTGTCCCTGAGCCTCTCTGTGCTCAAGACTAGGGCTCTACCACTTGAATCACAGCACCACTTCTGGCTTTTTCTATTTAGGTGCTACTGAGGAATCAAACCCAGGGCTTTATGCATGCTAGGCAAGCACTCTACCACTAAGCCACATTCCCGGTCCCTGCTTATCTTTTTTTTTTTTTGGGTCCAGTCGTGGGGCCTGAACTCTGGGCCTGGGCGCTGTCCCTCAGCTCTTCAGCTCAAGGCTAGCGCTCTACCACTTGAGCCACAGAGCCACTTCCGGCTTTTTTCTTTTTGCTTATGTGGTGCTGAGGAATTGAACCCAGGGCCTCAGGCATGCAAGGCACACGCTCTACCACTGAGCCATCTTCCCAGCCCCCCTGCTTATCTTTTTTAAAACAGCCTCTTTGCATAAACTTTCTTCCCTCATTGAAATCAATTTGAGAGCCTTAAACAGACCCAGGGGCACAGCAGTAGTTAGATATTGCTTGTGTTCTTGCAGCTGAGCTTTAGGAGTTGGGTGGAGACTGAGGGCCGCTGTGGTCTTGAGGACTTTGTACACAATGCAGATTCACCTCACAAAGGAGGAAGCTCCTATTTGCTGAGAAGCCACTTCTCCCAACCCCTTTTATTCCTTAGTATCTTTGTTTTCCCCTCAGGCATGATATTGACCCTGTTATCAGTTACAATGGGTTTCTGGCTGTACTTAGATGATCATTTTAAATGAGAGGAAAAAGTTGTTTCCCTGGTATTTTGGCCTTGATTGTGCTATCTTCCTTTGGGTTATTTGTGTAAGTAGGTCAAACATCATGGTTTGGAGGGGTTTGATGGCCTTGTGGCTGCTCTTCCTTTGTTTAGTTTGAACCTTAACCTGTAACTCACAGTAATCTCAACAAGGTGGGTAATTCCACAGAAAATAAGAAAGAAATGGAGAAGAAACTGGCTGTGAAACCCATAGAAACCAAGAACAAGTTCTCCCAGGCGAAGCTGTTGGCAGGAGCTGTGAAGCATAAGAGGTCAGCCGGCACTCATACAATGAACCTCCCTCTGGCCTTGTCCCCTGCTAACTGTACTTGTAGTGATATCTAGAGCAAGAGGTTACTCAGCCTATGTCTCTGGAAAGCTTCTTCAGTGTCTACAATTCTCTTCCTTTCATATTTGGTATCTCTTGTAGCCTTCGACCCTTGTGTGTCTGATTTTTTTTTTGCGGGGGGGGGGGGGTCCGGTCGTGGGGCCTGAACACTGGGCCTGGGCGCTGTCCCTTAGCTCTTCAGCTCAAGGCTACCACTCTACCACTTAAGCCACAGCACCACTTCCAGTTTTTTTTCTTTTTGCTTATGTGGTGCTGGGAAATCGAACCCAGGGCCTCATGTATGCAAGGCAAATGCTGTACCACTGAGCCACCCTTCTAGCCCCAGTCTGACCATTTTTAACATCATAAAGTTGGTCTTGCTTCCTGTGCAAGCTCGTATTTACTCCTTTCCTTAATGATAACTTTACTACAGATTATTATAATTCCTGTCATACTAATGGGAAGCCTGACAATTGGAGAGGTTGAGAACTTTTGTTCAGGGTCACACAATGGTAGAAGAGCAGGAACTCAGTATTTGAGCCTGTTGCTAGGCACATGAAGCAGCGTGCTTGAAGCAGGGACTGTTAGTGGGTAATGAATACAAGGAAGAAGAATGTATTCTGCTTGGGGGTGTGTGAGGTCTAGCTAGGGACAGCATTTGAAACATGATGCTTGAAGCCAGGTATAGTATAATGGCACATATTTATAATTCCAGCCCTGAGGAGGTGGAGGCAGGAGGATTGTGAGTTCCAGGTTAGCTTAGACTACGTATAGTCTTAGCCTAATATATAGACTCTGTGTTACGTATAGTCTTAGACTATATATATAGACTTGTGTGTGTGTATGACTATATATAGTCTTAGACTACATATAGTTTTACTTTCAAAAATAAAATAAAACAAAACAAAACAAAAAGCCAAGTGCCAGTGGCTCACAGCTATAATCCTAGGTTCTCAAGAGGCTTAGCTCTGAGGATAGCAGTTCAAAGCCTGCCTGGGCAGAAAAGTCCACAAGACTGTTACCTCTAGTTAACTACCAGAAAACCAGAAGTAGCACTGTGGCTCAAGTGGTAGAGTGCTAGCTTTGAGCACAAACAGACTCAGGGACAGTACCCTGGCCCTGAGCCCTACAGCCAACAACAACAACAAAAGATAAGAAAAAGATGCTGATTGGGTAGGACACTAGGGCTTTGATAAATAAGAGCGAGAACATCCCAAGCAGAGTGAACAGCTGCTTCAAAGACATTAAAAGAATGTGGCAGCTGTGACAGGGTTACAGACCTGGCTGTGGCTCAGTTTGATTGGTGTGGGGGTGGTAGTACTACCCAGAGATTTTGCTAACTTTTTTCTTATGCTCCTCCTCCCTTTTCAAGGTTGAATCAGTTGGACCAACCAGACCATGAGCAAAATGATGTTAAGTTTAAGTGTAGTCTATTAGGAAAATCAATATGGCATATTGGCAGCTAGCCATGTGTTTTGAAAGGAGTGTATTGATGCAGTCTTGGGGTTTGGCACATCAGCCATCTGCCGCAGATGTTCCTAAGAACATTGCCTACATGTAAAATGTCGTGGTACAGCAGAGGCGAGGGGAGGATGAGTAGCCTGAAAAGGGCCCACAGCTATGAATCACTCCTCTCAAGAACTCACTAAGGAAGTGGCACTGTGGCTCAAGTGGTAGAGCCCTCACTATGAGCTGAAGAGCTGAGGAATAAAGCTCAGGCCAAGTTCGAGTCCCATGACTGACATCAAAACAAAGCAAAACAAAACAAGAACTCACTAAGTTGCTACACAAGCGCTATAGTCTTAGTATTCAGACCTGGGTAGTTTTTCTGGATTATGCCAAGGAAAAGTTTTTCAGGGAGACACCTCTTGGTGGTGCTCTTGCTCTTGCTGGTACCAAGTGGGTATTTTACCTGTTTACCTTAATTAAATCACCTCAGAAGTGCTCTGTTAACTTATTTGGTGACCTGCATAGAAGTCTTCTTGGGTTTTGAAACTATATCATGCTTTGCACAAGCAAAGTAATGACTTTGCCCCTTGAGGCAGGAATTCCCAATAACCCCAGCCCTGGGCTTATGGATTTGCCTGTGAATTTAAGAATGTGAATTCCCAGGCCTCCTTGGTGCACTAATTTGAAGTGTGGACTCTTGATTGTTCACATTTGTGGTTGATTCTGATGCCTGGTGAAGATCTGAAGCTGCTCGTGTGTAGGAAGACTGGAAGCAGCACCTATTTCACGCCTTCTTCAGAGAGATCCTTGCTTTGTTGGTATAGACAACTGTTGGGTACCTAGCTCATTCATATTCAGTTATAAGTTCCAGTGCTACAAAATTTCCTCAGCTTTTCTTGAATGCAAGTTTTATATTTCCTTCTAAGTATTTAAAAAATTTCCCATGTGACTTAGGTTCAGGAACAGTTGAGAAATATATTTTAAATTTTCTGTGTTGAAATAACCCTATTTCAGTGGTTCTAAAATAAACCTCTTTCTTACCCCACATTTTAACACATTCAGTAGCATCTTAGAAGCTGTGAAATATGCTATTCATTATGTATTACTGATATCTAACTTAATTACACTGGCTTGTATGCATATTGAGGGGGGTGTGTGTGTGTGTGTGTGTGTCCCTGTGTGCTTGCACATGCTCGTACGTGCTGGTTCTGGGGGTTGAACTCTGGGTTTCCTACTCTCATTTGGCTTTTTCACTCATTCATGCCTGGCACTCTGCCACTTATGCCTTGTCTCCACTTCCTTCTTTTTGCTGGTTAATCAGAGTCTCTTGGATTTGTTTGCCCAGGCTAGCGTTGAATTGCCATCCTCAGATCTCAGCCTCTTGAGTAGAGTTACAGGTGTGAACCACTAGCACCCATCTAGCACTGCCTTTTTAAGGGTAGTCACTGCCTCTTTAAGAGTAGCCACCATCTTACAAGAAGCTATTTTAGTTAAGCCACTCCTGTTATAAGAATTGCTGTTATAGGGGCTGGAAGCATGGCACAAGCAGTAGAGCACCAGCTGACTTCTGACAAGTCAGAATACTTGGCCAAGTATTCTGGTTTTGGTTGATTGCTCAGATAAACTTTGAACCATTTCAAATTAGCCAATCAAAAGATTATGAATGTAATTTCTGACCAGGTTCACTGCCCACCCTGAGCACTTGCTTACTTGGTTTCCTGTTTGTAGCAGGCCTTTTGGCAGAAGTGAACTTTGATTAGGAATCCAAATAAAGGCTTTCAATTTCAGATCATTCCAGCATCCTGAGGCTGCCTATGACTCTCTAAGCTTTGATCCTTGAGATTGATCATAGCTGAGATTACTGTGATTTCATTACAGCTCAGAGAGTGGGAACAGTGTGAAAAGACTGAAACCAGACCCTGAACCAGACGAGAAGAGCCAAGGTAGGTGGCACCTTCCTTTCTCTTTTACTCATACACCTTGTGAAGCATGATGAGGAACTGTGATCATTCCATCCATAAATTAGGGGATTCCTGTCTCATACAAACCTTCCTAAACCTGGTTTCCAAACTTTTATACCAAGCAGGATTTATATTTGAGGCTAGCAGCTGCCCTGCAAAAGAAATACATTAGATGCCATAGAGCTAGTAAGTGACAATTGCTGTCCTGGGAGTGCTTATAAAATCCTGGTCAGATGACCTCTTCTCACAAAGGGCTTTGTCTCTGTCTCCGCCAAATGTCAAGTTTCTTGATTTCACCTGGTTTGCTACCATGGGAAGTTGAATGCCTAGCTCCTGCTGATGGTTGGATTGAGCCTAGAAGTTTAATACAATTCCCAGGAGTACGTTTGCTTTGCCTAATGATTTTTATGTGATGAATCTGCTTCTATATCAAGTGGCACCAAATAAGTAAAGGCGAATATTCTTACAGACTGGATTAGAAATGAGAAATTCGCTGGGCACTGGTGGCTCACACTTGTAATCCTAGCTACTCAGGAGGCTGAGATCTGAGGATCACAGTTCAAAGCCAGCCGGGGCAGGAAAGTTGTGAGACTCTTATCGCCAATAAACCACTCAGAAAATCGGAAGTGGCACTGTGGCTCAAGCGGTAGAGCACTAGCCTTGAGCTGAAGAGCTGAGTGACAGCGCCCAGGCCCAGTGTTGAAGCCCCATGACCAACAAAAAAAAAGAAAGAAAAATGAAATGAGAAATTCAAGTCTGTTTTTTATCTGACTCTATTAAACTTAGCAGGTCATCTAAAAAACAGAGCTTATGTTTCTTTATCTCAAAAAAAAAAAGCACTTTTAAAAATGACCCATAGAATACCAGTGATGGCTATTACTTTTATCCTTTTGCTCTAGAATCTGCTTATAAAAAGGACCATGAGTGAAGAGCCGCTCTTTCACCAACACTGTCTTCAATCTAGTTCTTTTCCACATGGAAGAAATATTATACATTTCTATGTACCCATCCAGACCTATTCTGTGTATGTACAAACATATATGTACTTGCTGGGCATGGTGGCTCCCTTCTATAATCCTAGCTACTCAGAAGGTATAAATCTGGAGGACTGGTTTCAGGCCAGGCCAGGCAAAAAAATTTGCAAGACCTATGTCAATAAACTAGGTGTGGCAGCATGTTCCTGTGATGCCAACTACACTGAAATCTGTAGATGGGAGGACTGTGGTCTCAGGCCAGCGCTGGCAAAAATGCATGACCCTGCTTGGAAAATAATGAAAGCAAAAAAGGGCTGGAAGTGTCGCTAAAGAGGTAGAGCTTCTGCGTAGCCAGCATAAAGCTGAGTTTAAACCCTAGTACCACCCAAAAGAAGAAATCCCCCATTTTATTATAGATAACTTCAAAGAGATTCAGAAGTTTGAATAACAGTATAAGAACTTCTATATCCTACTATCAGTGTGTGTGTGTATGTGTGTGTGTGTGTGTGTGTATTGTGTGTGTGTGTATTTTGTGTGTGTGTATATTTTGTGTGTGTGTGTATTTTGTGTGTGTGTGTGTGTGTGTGTGGTGCAAGGGATTGAACTGGGACCTTATGCACACTAGGCATATGTTTTACCACTGTGCCCTTAAAGGCTTGTAGGATGTATCCAGTGTTCACTTACACCTTCCCAAGTATGGTGTTTTGTGGCAAATCCCAGAAATCATTTCATAATTCTTTAATATATTTCTAAAAAGTAACTTAGTTTAACAATAGTAATACCATGACCATATCTGTAATAATCACAATAATTATCAAATGTCAAGTTCGTATTATTTTCCTAGCTTATCTATTTTGGAAATAGGGTCTCTGTTAGCTTTAGCTGGCTTCAAGGTTGCAGTCTTCCTCAGACTCCTGAGTGGTGAAATTACAAGTGAAGTACCACTGAACTTGGCTTGATTGACAAATTAGTTTGTTTTGTTTTGTTTTGCTTTTTAAAAAAGGATCCAAGGAAGGGCCAACCTTTGTATTTGGCTCAAAAAGATTGTCTTAAAGTTACTGGAATATAACTCGCCTGTTAAAGTAATACTGCTCAGTGATGTTTTGTGTGTTGACAAGGTTGTGCAGTCATCACAATTGCTATCTAATTCCAAAACGTTTTCAACAAGCAAAAGAAAGCCTTTACCTCTAACAAGATACTCCGCATGCCCTCTTCTCTTTAGTCACTGGCAACCACTAATCAGTTTCTTTGTGGATTTGCCATTCTGGGCCATTTCATGTCAGTGTAATCAAGTATTACGTGTCCTTTTGTGTTTGGCTTCTTTTAAGTTAGTATGTTTTCAACATTCATCCATGTTTTAGCATGAAGTACTATTTACTAGTGGCTGCCTAATGCCTGTTTATATAACATACACATTTTGTTTGTCCATTATTCTGGACATATAGGGTTTTTGGCTAATATGAATTATGCTGCTGTGAATATTCACATACAGGTTTTTGTATAGGCAGCTGTTTTTAGTCTCAGGTCATGTGATAACTGTATATTTAACTTTTTGGGAAACTACTACTTTCCAAAGTAAGTGCACTATTTTTTCTTTGTACCAACAGCATATGAAGGTTCTGATCTCTTTACATCCTTACCAATACTTACCTCTCTCTTTTTAAAAAAATTATTATATACATCCTCATGGGTAGTTTCTTTTATAGTGGAGGTGATTTTTTTAAATGTAGTTTGCTGTGCACTTTGTCACAGATTCATTGTGGTTTTGATTTGCATCTCCCTAATGATTGATCACAATCATCATCTATCTCTTTGCCATTTTTATGTTTTTCTTTAGGAAAGCATATATTCAACCTTCAAGTTAGAATTCCCTATATATTTTGAATATTGGGCACTTAATCAGATAGATGATTGCAAATATTTTCACTTTCTCCATAACATCCTTTGAAGCATAAGGTTTTAGTTTCGGTGACATCTTTCTTGTGCTTTAGGTATCATGTAAGAAACCATTAACTAATTCAAAGTTAAAAAGGTTTATGCCTGTTTTCTTAAAAGAATTTTACCCCATCTTTGTTTCATTCTGGGGAATGTAGGCATATGGTGTGAAGTAAGGATCCAGTGCCAGTCTATAGGAGTGTTGAGACAGTTGTTCTTTTCTGCACTGAACTGTCATGGCTTCCTTGTTGAAAAACCATTGACTATAAACATATGGATTCATTTCTGGGTTTTCTTTTCTACTCTGTTGATCTTTACATCTGCCCTTATGCCACTACTAGTCTTGATCATGCTTACTTTGTAGTTTAGTTTTTAAATTGGGAAGTATGAGTCCATCAATTTGTTCTTTTAAAGATTATTCTACTTCCATTTTGAAATAAGCTCATCAGTCTGCCAAAATAACAGCTAAGACTTTGATAGAGATTGTTGGAATCTTGGATTGAGTTGGAAATGTTGTTTTTGTGTGTATGAATGTATGTGCATGCCTGTGCACACATGCATGTGCACACATACACACTAGAACTCAGGGCCTTGACTCTATTCCTCAGCTTTTCTGCTCAAAGCTAGTATTTTACCACAGCTCTACTTCAGGCTTTTTAGTGGTTACTTGGAGATAGGAGTCTCATGGGCTTTCCTGCTTAGGCTGGCTTTGAACTGTAATCCTCAGATCTCAGCCTCCTAAGTAGCTAGGATCACAGGTCTAGCTTTTCCTTCTTTTAAGTTATTGTTTCTTTTGTATTTTATTTGCAAAGAAAGTGAGTCTGTTCTGTGTGGTATCCTATATTCTAGATTTCACTGTGGTGTTCCCTGTAAAATGGGAATTAGATCTAGGAGCTTGACTAGTTTGAGGTGATTTTTTTGTAAGAATACTCAATATGTTGATTTTATATTTCTAATCATTATGAGTTTTACTGTATTTTAACTTTTTTTTTGGGGGGGGTCTGATCGAGGGCCTGAACTCTGGGCCTGGGTACTGTCCCTCAGCTCTTCAGCTCAAGGCTAGCGCTCTACCACTTAAGCCACAGCGCCACTTCGGCTTTTTTTTTCTTTTTCTGCTTATGTGGTGCTGAGGAATCGAACCCAGGGCCTCATGCATGCAAGACAAGCGCTCTACCACTGAGCCACCTTCCCAGCCCAGTATTTTAATTTTTGTATTACTTAATTCACTTGTTATTGTACTGTGTGAAACACTGTATAAGTACCCATGGAGAACTTTTTTCCCTTCTTTTTCTTTTTTTGTCAGTCCTGGGTCTTGAATTCAAGGCTTGGGCACTGTCCCTGAACTTATTTTGCTCAAGGCTAGTACTCTGCCACTTGAGCCACAGCGCCACTTCCAGCTTTTTCTGTTTATGTGGTACTGAGGAATCGAACCCAGGGCTTCATGCATGCTCTACAAGTGCTTTACCACTAACCCACATTCCCAGCCCACCATGGAGAACTTTTTTTTTCTTTCATATATATATACTTTTTAAAATTGTGAAAATACCATATAGAGGGGTTACAAAGAACTTTTTTTAAGGCTGTATAGTATTGTGCTATAATATATCCCATTTTTAAATTTATGAGATTTTTTTCCCCTATTCTGGGGTTTTAGTAATAACCTCCCACATGCATAATTTTTATACACATGAAAACTAAACTCAGGTCAAATACTTAGAACAAGAATTGTTCCTTAGAACTAGAATTGTTTCTTAGAAATAGAAATTGTTTCTTAGAACTATAAATGGAACCAAATTGCCATTCAGAAAAACTATTTCAGTTCATACTTAGGAAGTCCTGTTGACTTTTTTTTTTTCTTTTTTGGTGACAGTACTGGGGCTTGAAGTCAGGGCCCAGGTACTGTCCCTTAGCTTTTATGCTCAAAGCTGGTGCTTTACCACTTGAGCCACAGCTCCAATTCCAGCTTTTTGCTAGTTAGAGATAAAAGGACTTTCCTGCTCAGGCTGGCTTCAAACCAGGATCCTCAGATTGCTGAGTAGTTTTGGGTGTAAGCCACCAGCACCCGCCTGGTGGCTTAACATATGGGAAACTCATTCAAACATGACAACTTAGATAGGATAAATGTGTGCACTCGATGTTTTGTATCTGTGGGTTCAACTAACCATGTTGAAAAACTTGGAAAGGAAAACATTGCATTTGTACTGAAAGTGTATAGGCTTAAAGTATATGGGAGGATATGCATATTATATTCATATATATATATATATATATTACATGTAAATACTATACCATTTTATATAAGGGCAAGTCTTGGAACAAATTCCCTGAGGATACTGAGGAAGATACATACAGTATTTATATATGCACATACACATACAAATACATACAACTTCATAGGAATCGTAAGCACATTTCAACCAATAAATTGGTTAATCCTGGGTAGGGATTGTTGGAGTGAATCAGTGGAAAGGAAAACTGTGAGGCTTCTTTGAATTATCCCAGGCAGACATTTGTGTTTCAGATCTGTTATTACTATTATTTTTGTCATTCTAAATGCCTTCTTCCTACTCCTGCATCCTTTTAGCAGAAGATAGGCAGGGGATCTCCTCCTTAGTTGGGAGGAAAAGCCCCAAAAAGAATGCCTTCAAAGCTTGCTTCAGAGACTTGTCCTCAGCAGTAGATAACCTGAAGGTAAGTCCTGCAGAAGATGTCCTGGAAAATATTTAGCTTCCCTGACAAAAACTAGCCTGGGCAGAGCATTTGAATGCCCGGTTGGTCCCTCTACTCTCAAGTCACGTATCTGCCCAAATCCCAAGAACATTTCCTATTTGTAATTTTCTGTGTTAATTTGGTATGACATTATAGTCCAGCAAATGCAGAAATTGGCAGGAAACTTCACCAAATGGGCGAGATCAGAGGGCACCTATTTATTCTGTTTTGTTAAGACTTGTAGTCTTTCTTTCTTGAAGCTTCCTAGATAACTAAAGTCTTTTCCCTTAAACTCCTCCAGTACCAGGTGGTCCGTTTCCTCAGTTGCAGTTCTATAGCTGGCTTCTTCCTTCCCTAGCCAGCACTTGTCCTCTATAGGTGCTCAGAACTTGATTCTTTTTTTTTTTCTCATCCTCTTCAGTTACTCTGCAGAATTTTCCTGCCAGATTACTGAAAGTATTATTCTATATGTGATACACAATATACAGTGAGTACTCAAGTAATGACAGAGAGAGAAAGAGAGTGAGAAAGAGTGCTGATGGGCTGGGAAGGTGGCTCAGTGGTAGAGCGCTTGCCTTGCATGCTCAAGGCCCTGGGTTCGATTCCCCAGCACCACATAAGCAAAAAGAAAAAGCCGGAAGTGGCACTGTGACTCAAGTGGTAGAGCGCTAGCCTTGAGCTGAAGAGCTGAGGGACAGCACCCAGGCCCAGAGTTCAGGCACCACAACTGGACCCTAAAAAAAAAAAAAAAAGAAAGAGTGCTGATGTCTTTTACACTTTAAAGAGTATCTGATTTTGGCCACCACCCTTCCCATCCGAAGCTTGCAATAAAAGCAGATTTTCTTGCATTCTCACACTTTGTGAATTCAGGCCTGCCATGTGCCAGACCCATGCAGTGTTCCTTGGGGATGAAACAGCAAAGAAAAAACCCTCACTTTTTTTTTACTGGGGTACATAAGCTCACAGGCAAGAGTTAGGAATGAATAGTAAGCTTCCCATGTTCCCTACCACCTGCTCCTGGTAGCCATTGCTACCAAATTTTTATGTAGCTCTCCTCAGATATAGTTACACATATGTATTGGCATACACTGCCCCCTAAAAAATTATTATGTATATACTCTGTTCTGCACCTGGCCTTTTTCATTTAGTATATTATCTTGGTGAATAGGTGATTCTAGTACATAGATGCTTTATTCTTTGTTTTGTAGTGCTGAGGGATCATGCTAGTAATATTAGCACATTGCTGCTGAGCTACACCCTACCCCAGGGAGAGTCCATTACATACCTTGTAGCCCACCACTTATTAATGGACCTTTGGGTTATTTTCAACTTTCTGCTACAGTGCACAGCACTTCAGTGAATGCTTCTTATGAACATCACTTATGTTTGAAGGTCACTGAAATTTCAATGACTTGTATTATACCAAGTTAGCTTCGTCACACATTCCCTCCTAATAAATTTTTTATATTTCTGTGTGAAAACCCATGTTTCTTTTTCTGTGAACTGTGCATGTCTTCTGCCTACTTTTCTTGGAGATTATAAATTGGAAGGACTCTTCTTATCTCCAAGACATTATTAGCTCTTGTGGTATGTGTTGCAAGTATTTGCCTCTGCTTTTGTATGCTTGTCACTGCTGTCTCTGCAATTGTTTGCTATTCTTATTTTACTTGTCTACATGTACGTGCTTCAACATTGCTTATCCCTTCCCAGCCTCATTCTCCTTGTTCTCCCTTTTCAAAGCATCCAGAAAAGATGAGCACATAAACTGAGCTGGCATAGGATAACTTTTTTAGCCTCTTACTACTTTTCTTTGTCTTCTGAGAAAAATACTTCCTTTCACAAGTCTGTTTTCCCCCTGTGGTACTTGGGCTTGACTCAGGGCCTTATGCTTGTTAGGCAAGTGCTCTACCACTTGAGCCATACCTCTAGCCCTCTTCGGCTTCTTAATCTTTTTCAGTTAAGGTGACATATATATATATATATTTTTTTTTTTGGGGGGGTGGGTGGGTGGGTCTGAACTGGCCTCTAACCACCATACTCCCGTGTTTACCTCTTGATAGTAGCTGGGGTGAGAGGAGCATACCACCACCATTTCTAGCCTATTTTTGATCATTATCTTCCTGTCTCTGCCTCCTGAATATCTGGGATTACATGTGTGAATCACAATATCTGGCTCTTTTTGCATTTTCTTGAGGCATAGTGAGATGTTGGTGCTTTGAAGAGAAGTTTCAGAAAGGGCTGTGCTTCTCAGACTGAGGCAGTGGCAAGGAACTCCATCCTTTAGTTTGCATTGAGCTTCAGTATCCTTTAGTATTTTGGGGAGGGGTCAGTCTTGGGGCTTGAATTCAGGGTCTGGCTCTGTCCCTGAGCTCTTTCACTCAAGGGCCACTTCTGGTTTTTGAGTGGTTAGTTGGAGATAAGAGTCTCGGGACTTTTCTGCCCTGGCTGGCTTTCAACCGAGATCCTCAGATCTCAGCCTCCTAAGTAGCTAGGATTACAGGTGTGAGCCAGCGGCACCTGGCCACTTTAATATTTTTTGATTCAGGTTTGGTTTAATGTGTTCTACTGTAAATAGCTTATAAACTTGTCAAGTCATCTGATTTCCCTCTGTTAGTAAACAGGGATAATACAGATTGTTGATAATACAGTTGTTACAGTGGTTATAAGATGATGGAAAAAGGGGTGGAGAGGCATCCTTTAACCTTCTAGTTTGAGGTGTTCCATCGTTGGAGTGACTGCATAACTAGACTTCCTGGGAAGAAAAGAAATGCATGTCATTAAACATGGTCTTAAAATGTTGGTTGGTGTGGTTTCATTGTCCTCAATTGTAAAAGACACATAGGCATAGAAAGCAAAGGTTGTGTTTAATCCTCTCCCTGTCTGGAAAGAGTGCCCTTGATAATAAAACATGTTATTCTGCTGCAATTGTTTGGCCGTCAGCATGCGTTGGTGCTGGCTAGCATATTGGTCAAGTGTGGTGTAAGGAGGATATCAGATCGGAGTGCAACTGGCTGTAAGACCCTGACTTGTAATTTCAGGCAGTCAGACCAGGACAGGTGACACTAACAAGGTAGTTTGTCTTCTCTCTCTGAGAGATGAGCATTTAGGCAGGCTGTGGGGTTCGAGTCCTTTGTGGGGTTCAAGTCCTAGCTTTGCCTCTTACCTTTAAAGTTATTTCATCTCCCGGTGTCTCACTTCCTCCTGTAAAATGAGGATAAGCAGAGTCTTGACTGCACAGCCCCATTTTGGGGTTCCACAGCATCTGTGGGAGATTCCCTGGCATAGCACCGGGCTGTGGTGACAGGCCCTCACTTGGAAAAGAGTTAACCATTTGTCCCCTTTTTTTTGCAGAGGCCCCATCATGTGTGTCTCTGGGAAGCACATCTCTGAGCAGCCCCTCCATCCACTGCCCCTCGGCTGCTGTGTGCATCGGCATCCTCCCAGGCTTGGGCGCTTACTCGGGGAGCAGCGACTCTGAGTCCAGCTCAGACAGCGAGGGCACCATCAATGCCACTGGCAAGATCGTCTCCTCCATCTTCCGAACCAATACCTTCCTCGAGGCGCCCTAACTTCTGACCTTTCCACAGGAGGCTCCTCCCCAGAGGGTTCAGACTTTACACCACCCTCACAGAACTCCTCCACCTGCTTCCTGTGCACACCATGGCACTTTTAACCTGACCTGAAAATGTGCCAGAATCCAGTTATGGCCTGAACTGTTTGGTTTTCTTTCCACTCCAGCACAGGTGACTAGACCTGTCCACTGCCTTTCCTCACTGATGGTTAGGGTGGGATGAGGCCCAGAGGAGGCTCCAGCCAGCTCCCTGGGGATAGGCTTAATTGGCTTGCAGAAGGAGTCATTGAGTTTTATTGCTGTCTTGGTTTTTCCTTTCCTTTAGCAGCACAAGGAAGCAAGGGCAGTTACTGGACCTGTTTAAATGTTCTGTTGTAGACACATGCTGTTTGGTTCTGCTGTGTTTGGAGCATGCGGGGAAGGAGGGCTGACTTCAACATGGTGAAAAGCCTCTCTGGAACTAAGTCCTGACGTGTGACTCAGTAAAGATGATTCCTCCATACCTGCAGGGCTGTTAGTCAACACCAGCCTTCTCTGTAAAGCTTTTTCTTGTTCTCAGCCATGCTCTTCTCTCCACTGACCCCAGTATAGGAAGGGACTAGTAAGAATAAGGTAGCCATCTTCTCAGCTTTTCTTTACCTGGCAATTTATCTTGTTTTTGTTCTTGAAATAAAAGACTTGCTTTAAGATTCTAAACATTAGAGAGACAAACAGGCCTTATTTAATCGTAGCCAGAAACCAGAACTGCTGTTAGGTATGTTAATGAGATGACTATTTCTAGAAGCTTCTGGAATCTTAATACTGCAAACTAGTGGGACACGCCTGTGTTATGACTGTACTCTGAACTCCACTGAAGCGCTGCTCTACTTGATGTGTAGTACAGTTGTGGCTTTTGACTGTGGAAGCTATTTCTAGCCTAAGGTGCTGCCCTAGTACTTTTCCTTTATTTAGTACCCTGCAGCTTCTTCTCTTCCCAAACAGAGCAGACAAAGAACCTCTTTGTCGCTAGGGTACCAGGGACTCAGCACTTTGAGAAGGAGGGAGAACAGAGGGAAAGAAGAAGAGATGTAGAGGTCTGGAGGACCCAGGTGGACGTGAGCTCGAAAGACAGCCTATGTTTCGCTGCTTCAGCACAGACCTGAGCAGCGTTCTTCCCCTTGGTTTAGCATCAATTGTGTCTCCTTCCCTGGGTGTGAGACTGAGCGAGACACATACTGAATGTGTTGGCACTGTGATGCTGGCAGGCAGAGAAACTACTCACTTTACCGTGGGCAGAGAGGCCTCCGGATCTCATCCAACCCACTTCTTTTCCCCTTCCAGTGCAGCAACACACGGGTGCCTATTGGCAGATGGTGGCTTCCCTTCGCCCAAAGCGCATGCTTGTAAGTGCTGCCTTTCTCAGGACTTCTTGGTGCTAATTGTTCCTGACTGTCGGTATGGGCACGTCAGGGTTGTGCTAACAAACAAGAAGTGTAGGTAAAACTGTGTAGGCACCTTCTGCCTCTCTGTTCCCTTGTTCCTGTGATGGTGCTGTCGTGATTACAGCTTGTACCCGAAGCAAGCCCAAATCATTTTAGAAGGCAGACCAAGGCATCAAAGTCACTATTGTTATGCGGTTTGACTTTGCAGAGGCCATTACTGCACCTCATGGCCTCTGTTGATGTTGGAAGAAGTTGACAAATGGTTGCAGGGATTAAAACCATACATTAACTTCAATGCTTACAAACCTGTCAGAGGATGAGCTCATGCTTCCCCCTGTGCTGCCAGCTCTCTGCTCTCACTGCTAGACTGTCTTAAGCAAACAGAGTCTTCAGACTTCTTTTTTCTCTTACTATAGAAGCCAGATTAGCCCTCAACTTGCTACCTTCCTACCTTAGCCTCCCAAGTGCTGGGATTGCAGGCATGCACCACTACACCAGAGCAGACAGATTTCTGCTGTTAATGTTTCAGGAGAGATTGTATGTCCGTGGTTCTTGCACCTATCCATGCAGAGCCCTGGAATTGAAATAAGCTTCTGTAGAAACCGTTGCTGGCAAAGCAGGGGCTGGGGCTGACTAATGAGAAGGGAAAGCAGCTTGGGGAGGTGTTCAGGGTAGACATAACGGTTCTATCTTGGAACAGACAGACAGAAACACCTCTTTAAACCTTGGAATATAGTCATTGGCTCCAGGTTGGCAGTTCTGAGTCTGCACATTAATCCAGCTGTGGATGGGAGAATGTTTGACTTTGATCCATACTAAACATGCACATTATTTCCCTAGTACTTTTTTTTTTTGGCCAGTCCTGGCGCTTGAACTCAGGTCCTCAGTTCAGGAACTGAGTCCTTTTGCTCAAGGCTAGTATCTGCCACTGGAGCCACAGTACCACTTGTGGACTTTTCTGTTTATGTGGTTCTGAGGAACCACATGAGGGCTTCATGCATGCTAGGCAAGCACTCTACCACTAAGCCACATTCCCAGCCCAGAGTACAATTTTTTACATGTTACTTACACAGTATTAGATTCTATTTAAGTAATCTGGAGACAACTTCAAGTCTATGAGATGTGTGTAGGTCCTATACAAGTACTGGATAGAAAAGACTTGAGCCAGCCGTAAATCTGGATATCCAATGGGGGTTCTGGAACCAGTAACCTACTGACTGTACTCCTGCCTTACCAACGAGGATTTTACAACCAGGTAAGAGAGCTACAAACAGGTTTGGGGTATGTCTCTTAAAGCCTGCTTATGTTGTCCTCAGTGGCAATATTATAACTAACCACACAAGTAGGGAGCTCATTATAGCTAAAGACCGTCTCCCTGGTAGGCCTTCTAGGTACTTCCTATCATTCCTTCTGGGGCCTGTCACTCACCTGGGTGGGGAGAAAAGGTGCTTGCAAGTCAAAAGCACCTACTTTTCCTTCTCTAAAAAACAGAGGTTGGCTGGATGCTGGTGGTTCAGACTTGTAATCCTAGCTACTCAGGAGGCTGAGATCTGAGAATCATGGTTTGAAGCCAGCCTGGGCAGGAAAGTCCATGAGATGACTCTTATCTCCAATTAAGCACCAGAAAAGCCAGAAGTGGAGCTGTGGCTCAAGTGGTAGAGTACTGTCCTTGAGCATAGAAGCTCAAGCATGTAGGGCCTGAGTTCAAGCCCCAGAACCAACACACACACACACACAGCAGAGGCTGATGTGACTAGACACAGATATCATCACTCCAGCTTCTGTGGTCTTTCTCTCTGATTGCCCCATCCTACCCCAGCCCCTCGGCTTCAGCTTTCCCTTCTCCCTGGGAACTCAACCTCATTACACCTTCATGGACATACCAGTGATTCTGAGCTTAAGAGTCAGATGTTTGCTTGCTGTGTTACTCAGGCAAGGTCCTCACTGGTAAAGACTTCACTTTCTTCCTGAGCAAGCAGAAATAGTACCACCTCCTAAGGAGGGGGAAAGTCACATGGAGCAGGTGCTTGGTAAATGGTAGTCACCATGAGTGCTGTCACCCTGGATCTTCATTTCCAGGTTGGTGTGCAGAGCATGGAGAGGTGTGACCTGTATGGGCTTATGGACTGTGCTGGCCTTCCCAGCCAGGTTGGGCCTTTCCATGACATGCTGGGGCTCAGATCTGGTGTCCAGAGCCCCAGTGCCAGCTTCTGCTGTGCACTCCTCTCCCAGCCAAAGGTGAACGGCTCAGGCACACCTGGTTCCTTACTGCCATCTCAGACCCTCCAGGAAAAACAAGGAGAGCGCAGTGGCAGCAAACAGCCATTTGGACTTGGATGTTTTCTTGGCTTCTTGGCATGCCTAGCCTACTTATGCATTCTGCATTCCCGGGTGGAATGCAAGCTCTGCTCTGTGGGAGGCTGGAATCTTGGCAACACTTTTGTAGTCACAGGTTGAGTACAAGAAGGGAGTCACACATCTCATGTCTTAATGATGCTGGCAAGGGCTGGCCTTTTGCTCCCTTACCTGCTGGAGCAGCGGCTTCAGGGAGGGGTAGTCTCAGCAATAGGCAGAGTATGGCCCAGGCAGAGGGGAAGGCAATTGGCTGGAGCTTTCTGCCATAGTCTGTAGTCTCATTCTAGCTCAGTGATAGTCACTGTATTGGAATTGGTGGCATTCTGGGGAGCAGCCCTTTTCCGCATTTTTTTTTTGTCTTCTTTTTTGGTACTGGGGACTGAACCTAGGACATTGCATTTGCTAGGCAAGTGCTTTGCCACTGAGCCACATCGCAGCTCCCCTTCTCTCTGTTCTAGAGGAAATCAGAACCCCCCCATCTCAGTGACTTGACTGCATTGCACGGCTCCGTGGTAGAACTAGGATTTTCACTGGAGCATTTGAAAGACTGGCTTTCTATGGAAGCTTCTGCCTACTCAGGTTCCCAAGTTACCTCCTGCCATCCATGTGTGATAGGAGAACCAAGTAGCAGCTCTGAGACCTGGGGAGTTAAAGGGATTGAGTCCTGGTCTGGGTGTGGGTTGCCCTTCCTCCTGAGGACTAGGCCAGCAAGAGTGCACTGCATGCCTCACCTTGGTGTCTCAGACAGGGCTAGGGCAGACCTCAGAAGGCTCAGAGGCCCAGAGGCTCAACCCTGGCCTACACACCTGATCACAGGGGACAGACCCTGATTGTTGGCAGGGACTTGGCCAGTACCTTTCCCAATCTGGGAAGTTACTGTGAGGTGCTGTAAGGATGGTGTGGAGGTCTGATGAGAAGTGGTCACCCAATGTCCTTGGAGGGCAAAAAGGGAAGGTGGGGCTAGGAAGAGGCTGTTGCTCGGTGGTGGTCTTCACTGCCAAGCCAGGGCTAAACAAAAAGTCCTGGGTTAGTGTGTGTCTAACGCCCAAACTTGCAGACGAGCCAGAATGAGCCAGGTATGCTGGTGCTGGGTTTCAACGTGTTGCCTGCCTGCTGGGGTGCTGTGCCTTCCTAAAGGACACAGAGCCCCATTTCCTGCAGTCTCTGAGAAAGGATGGTGTCCCTAAACCCTTCATCTAGGTTCCTGGTGGCCACAGTATCAGCAGGCTTGGTGTGGAGGTGTCCCTTCTTCATTTCCCAAGACAGTGTGGCTCCTGAGCTTGCTGGACACAAACAGTGGGACCCACCTGGTACTGCCCAGTTCTCAGAGGCCTCCAGGAAGAAGTACTGACCTAGGCGAGCAGGTGGGGACTAGCTTAGGGAATAGCTAGGTCCTTAGCAGCTTGCATGCACCACTTCTGTACAGACCAGCAGGCACTGGTAGTACTGGAGCAGCTCAGGCATAGAGCTGGCCTGACTCATCTGCAATCTGCCCCTGCCTCAGGCCTGATAACTTTTCTACACATTCCATGGTCTCTGACTGGACATGGTCAGTGACTGTAAAGCACTGTGACCAGTGTTCACTGCTACTGGCCACACACAAGGGCCTGTGTCAAGAGACTCCTGGGAAGAAACAGGGGAGTTAGGAGGGAATGGGGAGCAGAGAGGGAGTTAGGTCCAGATGGTCCTTGGGTTGGTCTCAGAAAGCTGGGCTTGTGTGTGAGGGAGGTGCTGCAGGGTGCAGGCAGCCCTAGTTCCGGTCCTCAGGCCTTTAAAGCGGCTTTTTTTGGGGGGTGGGGTGGGGTGGTTGATCATGGGGCTTAGATTCAGGGTCTAGGTGCTATCCCTGAGCTCTTTTGCTCAAGGCTAGTGCTCTACGACTTTGAGCCATATCTCTACTGATAATTTTTAGGTGATAAATTAGA